AGCAGAGATGCAAACCCAGAGCCGGTGCCGCCCCCGAAGCTGTGGAAGATGAGGAAGCCCTGCAGCCCCGTGCACAGATCCGCCTGAGAGAAAGCAGAGACCGTGAGCAATGCCTTTCGAAGCCACACCGCCAACCTCCCACAAGCCTAGGTCACTTCACTTTGACTCCACAAGGTTAAATGGATCCTAGTCACCCCAGGTAACATGCATTCCATGGAAGGGGAGGCAAAGCAGACAGAGAGATGTACGGATGGATGCACTGCAGCCACACCAGGAAGGAGGACCATGGGTTCATGATTCTGCCTTGGGTTTTGCCAAAATGACCCTGGAAGGCTTCCCAGCACCTTCTTACCAACTTGCGGATCCGGTCCAGGACCAGGTCAACAATCTCCTTGCCGATGGTGTAATGGCCTCTGGCGTAATTATTGGCTGCATCTTCCTTCCCGGTGATCAGTTGCTCAGGGTGGAAGAGCTGCCTGTAGGTCCCTGTGCGCACTTCATCTACAAAGAGGACACATGTGCCATGGCCTTTAAGGATGATTGTTAACTCACCAGCATGGACAGATGTGGGGACCATTCAATTCTACCAAGCACGTGCTGTTCCTGGTAGGTCAACAGCATCAGTGTATCACAGGGAGGCCCTACGTAATACACAGAGCACATCTGCAATCCATGGCTCTAGGGAGGTAAACTCAACTCACGGCACAAATACCAGCTTGACCGGTTCCCAAAGAAGAGAACAGAGCGCTCACCCCTGCACACAAGACTACATGTGCATATTTCTTTCACACCAAATGGTATAATTTTAAAAATGTTTCATACTGGACAGTCACTAGGTCAGTGTGCTTTTTGCCAGGCGGTCCTATCAGGGCACCTGTGTGGCCTGGTCTCAGACTTTAGGGTGACATTCTGTCACCTCTGGGTGACCACTGACAGGTCTGCCTTTGCAGCTCTCCTCAGGCTTCTAATCTGGAGGGACCCAATGAATGTTCTCTACTTACCTTTCTATGTCTGAGACGCAGGTTAAGACTCTTGTGCACCAGCTGAGAGAGTGCACAGCATTAAGGAAGAATGAGTGCCAAGTGCCCTGCAGGCAGGATCTACAGCTGCCTGGGCTGAGGCAGTCACAAATGAATGAATTTGTTATAAGCCCAGCTTACTCCTGGCAAAGCCTTTTCTGTATGTTAGGTTTTTCTAAATCAGGAGCCCAAGCCCCACATTTCAAGCATTAACCTTTCAGTTTCTCGCCTAACATGGTCATGGCTTACCTGTGTGTCCATCCTTCCTTTCTGCAGAGGAATTCCAAGGAGAACCCTTGGGGATTAACTAGGCTCTCTCAGCCACCCTGCTTGCCCGAGTACCTACCAACCACGGTGGGCTCCAGGTCCACAAACACTGCTCTGGGCACATGCTTGCCAGCCCCAGTCTCGCTGAAGAACGTGTTGAACGAGTCGTCCCCACCGCCAATGGTTTTGTCACTCGGCATTTGCCCGTCAGGCTGAATGCCATGTTCAAGGCAGTATAATTCCCAGCAGGCATTGCCGATCTGGACACCGGCCTGTCCCACGTGGATAGAAATGCACTCGCGCTGGGAAACAGAACATAAATGTGAGACCCGTTCGTTTTCCAGACAATTGTCACTGTATGGCATGAAAATATAACTTGAGACATATATACGCGTTTCAATGTCTAAGGCTTTCTCAAATGTTATATTCTACGAGGTTTGTGTGATCCACTTATCCCTGTGAAAACTGAGGTGCTAAACCACTTAGCTAAGTGCTAAAGTTAGTCCCAGAACCTAATTGTCAAAATTAATGCTATTAAATCTCTACCCAGTGTACTGTGACAAAAATGGAAAGTACATATAAAGTCCTTGTGCACACACCGAAATACAGCTGTACTGAGAAAAAGCACTTGTGTATCGGAGTTGCCAACTGTGAACTAGCTGCTTGTTTCACGGCCTGCTGTTTGAATTGGAAAGAAATGACAAACTGGCTGTTCAGACCTGGATATCTGTGATTTATGTGACCGTCTTGCTTGAAAGTAATAAACATCTTTACAGTTCTTAGTTTTAATTTCTAATGGGACAAGTGCAGGGAGGTTCCGAGGCCAGT